TGGATGTGCTTGGGTCAGAGAAAATAGGAACTTGCGTGGATTTGCTCGCTGAAATAGTATAAATCCGAGGGGGAACTTGCCTGGCATCTTGAAAAGAACTTCTGGCCGTCCAATAAGTATCTTGTAAGGATTCTTTTGATGAAACTAGAACTGGGAATGGTGAAAATTCTTCTATGCACTCTGAGGATGTACTTGGGTCAGAGACAGTAGGAACTTGTGAGGATTTGCTGACTGTCATAGCAAGCTTGGCAGAGGGAGTTTGTACAGGTTCCTGTGGCAATCTCGTATCATATAAATCAGGAACTTGCATGGGTTCTCTGTATGAAAATGGAGCTGGGAAAGACATGACTTCTTCTGTGCCAACAGTCGATGCAGTTGGCTGAGACAACCCAGAAATTTTTGTAGATTTACTCACTGAAAGAGTGTGAATTCTAGAGGGAAGTTGAATGACATCCTCAGAAGAATTTGTGGCAGAACAGTCAGGAAATTGAATGGATTCTTTTGATGAAACTGGAACTGAGAATGATGAAATTTCTTCTATGCGTGTTGTGGATGTACTTGGGTCAGAGAAAATATGAACTTGTGTGGATCTGATCGCTGAAATAGTGTGAATCTGAGGGGGAACTTCAATGACATCCTGAGAAGAACTTTTGGCAGTGCCGAAAGGATCGTGTAAGGATTCTTTTGATGAAACTAGATCTGGGAATGATGGAATTTCTTCTATGGGCCTTGTGGATATACTTGGGTCAGAGACAGTTGGAACTTGTGAGGATTTGCTCATTGCCATAGTAAGGTTGGCAGAGGGAGTTTGCGTGGGTTCCTGTGGCAATCTCTTGTCAGAGAAATCAGGAACTTGCATGGGTTCTCTGTATGAAAATGGAGCTGAGAATGACATGTCTTCTTCTGAGCCACCAGTCGATGAAGATAGCTGAGACACCCCAGGAATTGTTGTGGATTTACTTATTGAAAGACTATGAATACTAGAGGGAACTTGAATGATATCCTGAGAAGAATGTTTGGCCAAGGAGTGAGGAAGTTGTATGGATTCTTTTGATGAAACTAGAACTGGGAATGATGGAATTTCTTTTATGGATGTTGTGGATGTACTTCGGTCAGAGACAGTTGGAACTTGTGAGGATTTGCTCACTTCCATAGCAAGGTTGGCAGAGGGAGTTTGCATGGGTTCCTGTGGCAATCTCCTGTCAGAGAAATCAGGAACTTGCATGGGTTCTCTGCATGAAAATGGAGCTGGGAAAGACATGTCTTCTTCTGAGGCAACAGTCAAAGAAGATAGCTGAGACACCCCAGGAATTGTTGTGGATTTACTCACTGAAAGAGCGTGAATTCTAGAGGGAACTTGAATGACATCCTGAGAAGAATGTTTGGCCGAGGAGTCAGGAAGTTGCATGGATTCTTTTGGTGTAACTAGATCTAGGAATGATGGAATTTCTTCCATGGGCCTTGTGGATGTACTTGGGTCAGAGACAGTAGAAACTTGTGAGGATTTGCTCACTTCCATAGCAAGGTTGGCAGGGGGAGTTTGCATGGGTTCCTGTGGCAATCTCTTGTCATACAAATCAGGAACCTGCATGGGTTCTCTATATGAAAATGGAGCTGGGAAAGACACGACTTCTTCTGTGCTAGTAGTTGGTGAAGGTAGCTGAGATACCCCAGGAATTGTGGTGGATTTACTCACTGAAAGAGCATGAATTCTAGAGGGAACTTGAATGACATCTTCAGAAGAACTTTTGGCAGAGCAATCAGGAACTTGTGTGGATTCTTTTGATGTAACTAGATCTGGGAGAGATGAAAGTTCTTCTATGCATGTGGTGGATGTGCTTGGGTCAGAGAAAATAGGAACTTGTGTGGATTTACTCGATGAAAGAGTCTGAATTGTAGAGGGAATTCCCATGGCATCCCGAGAAGAACTTGTGGCAGAGATGTCAGGAACTTTTGCAGATTCTGTTGACAAAACTATAAGTGGTATTGATGGAAGTTCTTCTGGACATAATGTGGATGAACTGGAGTCAGAGAGTTTAAGAACTTGTGTGGATTTTTTTGCTGTGGTAGCATAGTTCAAGGAATCTTGAATGGGTCCGTCTGGTGATCCTGTATCAGAGAAATCAGAAACTTCTATGGATTCTCTTTTTGACAGTGGACCTGGGGACGACATAATTTCTACGACAATCATTGATGACCTTGGGTCAGAGGAAGCAGCAGCTTGTGTTGACTTGCTTGCTGAAACAGAATGGCTGATAGAGAGAACTTGCAAGACCTCCTGATTTGAACTTGTGGCAGAGAAATCAGCATTTTGCATGCGTTCACTTGATGAAATTACAGTTGGGAACGATGGAAGCTCTTCTATGCATACTGTCAGTGAACTTGGGTCAGAGAAAATAGGAACTTGTGTGGATTTACTGACTGAGATGGCATGGTAGCTTGAAGGAGCTTGAATGACTTCCTGTGATGATCCTGTGTGTGAGAAATCAGGAACTTGCATGGCTTCTTTGTATGAAAATGGACTTGGGAAAGACATGACTTCTTTTTTGTCAGGAATTGATGAATTTAGATCAGAGAAAGAAGAAATTTGCATGTGTTTGCTCACCGTAACAGTGTTGGGAGAAGAGGGAACATATATTGCTTCTCTTGGTGAAGTTTTATCAAACAAATTAGTAACTTCTATGGCTTCTTTTAATAATTCAGTAACTGAAGAAGAGGGAACTTCTTTTGTGTGGGCACTCAGTGAAATTGGGTCAGAAAAAGAAGAGAGTTGTGTAGGTTTGTTATCGTGAATTGGGTCTGAGGAAGAGGGACATTCTCTCAATGACCTTGTATCAGAAGAGAGAACCTTTATGGATTCTTTCCTTGAAGTTGTACTGGAGGAAGTGACTCCATTTGGAAATTCTTCTTGTGAACATGGGCCTGAGGAAAATCCCACATAATTACTCACTGGGATTATATCAGAGAAAGAAGGAACTTGGGTGTATGCACTAGACCTATTTAGATTCATGAAAGGAGTAACTTGCTCAGATTTACTCACTTTCCTGAGTGCCATAGTTTGAGGAGGTGAATTTGGCTGAAACAAACTTGGTGCTTGTATAGTTTTGCTTTGTGAAATTAAATCTGATAAAGATGAATGTTTGGTAGATTCAAGTGATAAATTTAAGTGAGAGAAAGATAAAACTTGCCCTGACTTGTTCACTGTATTTAGGCCAGTAGAAGGAGGAGATTCTATGGATTCACTCATTGAACTTGGCCTGGGTGAGCAAGGAACTTCTATTGTTGCACTTTGTCCCTCTAAGGAGGGAAATTGCGTGGATTTACTCGTTACAGTTTGACTTAATAAGAGGGGAGCGTCAGTGGATTCTAAATCATAAAGATTTAGATGGAATGAGGCAGGGATAACTTCTGTGACTTCTGTTGGTACACTTGGGCCTGAGAAAGAGGGAAATTGCACGGATTTGCTTAATGCATGTGAGCCTGAGGAAATTGGGTCTTCCATAGATTCTTTGGTTGAACTTGGCCTGAAGGAGGAAAATCGAACTTCTTTATCTTCTCTTGGTGTACCGGGACTTGAGGAAGATGAAAACTGCAGACATTTCGTTGTTACCAGTTGACCTGAGGAAGGAGCTTCCAGTGATTCACTAATTGAACGTAGACTGCGGAAGGAAGGTTTCGGTTGTGTGACTTCTGTTGTTGCACTGGTACCTGAGATAGAAAGAAATTGTACAGATTTGCTTAATACCTGTTAGGCTGAGAAAGAACCTTCCCTGGATTCACTAATTGAACATAGACTGGGGGAGGAAGGTTGAGGTTGTGTGACTTCTGTTGTTGCACTGGAACCTGAGATAGAAGGAAATTGTACCGATTTGCTTGTGGCCCCTTGGACTGACAAAGGAGCTTCCATAGATTCACTAATTGAGTGTAGGCTGGGGGAGGAAGATTGCAGTTGTGTGACTTCTGTTGTTGCACTGGAACCTGAGATAGAAGGAAATTGTACCTGTTTGCTTCTTACCAGTTAGCCTGAGAAAGGAGCTTCCATGGATTCACTAACTGAACTTGGGTTGAATGAGGAAAGTGGAACTTTTTTGTCTTCCCTTGGTGTACTGGCTCTTGAGGAAGAGGGAAATTGCGAAGATTTGATTGTTACCAGCTGACCTGAGAGAGGAACTTCCATGGATTCACTAATTGAACAAAGACTGGGGGAGGAAGTTTGAGGTTGTGAAACTTCTGTTGTTGCAATAGAACCTGAGATAGAAGGAAAGTGTACAGATGTGTTTGTTGCCCCTTGGCCTGAGAATGGAGCTTCTGTGGAATCGCTAATTGAACATAAGCTGGGGGAGGAAGGTTGAGGTTTTGTGATTTCTGTTGTACTGGTACCTAACATAGAAGGAAATTGTACAGATATATTTGTTGCCCTTTGACCTGAGAAGGGAGCTTTTGTGGATTTCATAATTGAACGTAGGCTGGGGGAGGAATGTTGAGGTTGTGTGACTTCTGTTGTTGCATCGGTACCTGACATAGAAGGAAATTGTATGGATGTGTTTGTTGCCCTTTGGCCTAAGAAAGGAGCTTTCATGGATTCACTAATTGAGCATAGACTAGGGGAGGAGGTTTGAGGTTGTGTTACTTCTGTTGTTGTAGTGGTACCTGACATAGAAAGAAATTGTACAGATGTCCTTGATGCTGTTTGGCCTGAGAAAGAACCATTCACTGATTCAGTAATTGAACCTCGGCTAGGGGAAGAAGGTTGCAGTTGTGTACCTACTGCTGTTGCGCTGGTATGTGACATAGAAGGAAATTGTACAAATATATTTCTTTCCCCTTGGCCTGAGGAAGGAGCTTCCATGGATTCGCTGATTGAACTTGATCTTAATGAGGAAAATGGAACTTCTTTGTCTTCCTTTGGTGAACTGACTCTTGAGGAAGAGGGAAATTGCAGAGGTTTGATTGTTAACAGTTGACCTGAGAAAGGAGCTTCCACGGATTCAATTGAACTTGGGTTGAATGAGGAAAATGGAACTTCTTTATCTTCCCTTAGTGTACCATACTGTGAGGAAGAGGGAAATTGCAGAGATTTGATTGTTACCAGTTGATCTGAGGAAGGAGCTTCCATGGATTCATTCATTGAAAGTAGGTTGGGGGAGGAAAGTTGAGGTTGTGTGACTTCTGTTGTTGTAGTGGTACCTGACATAGAAAGAAATTGTGCAGATGTGTTTGTTGCCCCTTGGCCTGAGAATGGAGCTTCCATGGATTCACCAATTGAACTTGGCCTGAATGAGGAAAATGGAACTTCTTTATCTTCCCATAGTGTGCCAGACTGTGAGGAAGAGGGAAATTGCAGAGATTTGACTGTTACCAGTTGACCTGAGAAAAGAGCTTCCATGGATTCACTCATTGAGCATAGGCTGGGGGAGGAAGTTTGTGGTTGTGTGACTTCTGTCATTATAGTGGTACCTGACATAGAAGGAAATTGTACAGATGTGTTTGTTGTTTCTTGGCCTGAAATTGCAGCTTCTAGGGATTCACTAATTGAATTCGGCCTGAAGGAGGGAGATGGAACTTCTTTATCTCCCCTTGGTGTACTGGGTCTTGGGGAAGATGGAAATTGCAACGATTTGATTGTTACCAGTTGACCTGAGGAAGGAGCTTCAAGGGATTCACTAATTGACTGTAAGCTGGGGGAAGAAGGTTGAAGTTGCGTGACTTCTGTTGTTGCACTTGGACCTGACAAAGAAGGAAATTGTACAGATGTGCTTGGTGCTCTTTGTCCTGAGAAATGAGCTTCCATAGATTCACTCATTGACTGTAGGCTGGAGGAAGAAGGTTGAGGTTGTGTGACTTCTGTTGTTACACTTGGACTTGAAAAAGAAGGAAATTGTACAGATGTGCTTGGTACCTTTTGGCCTGAGAAAGGAGCTTCCATGGATTCACTTGCTGAAAACATATTGGGGAAGGAAGGTTGTGATTGTGTGATTTCTGCTGTGGCACTGGTACCTGACATTGAAAGAAGTTGTACAGTTGTCTTTGTTGCCCCTTGGCTTAAGAATGCAGCTTCCATGGATTCAGTCATTGAATCTGGCCTGAATGAGGAAAATGGAACTTCTTTTTCTTCCCACATACTGGGTCTTGAGGAAGAGGGAGATTCCAGAGATTTGATTGTTACCGGTTGTCCTGAGAAAGGAACTTCTATGAATTCACTTGCTGAAAGCAGATTGGGGAAGGAAGGTTGTGATTGTGTGACTTCTGTTGTTGTAGTGGTACCTGACATAGAAGGAAATTTTACAGATGTGTTTGTTGCCTCTTGGCTTGAGAAAGGAGCTTCCATGGATTCACTAGCTGAACTTGGCCTGAATGTGGAAAATGGAACTTCTTTTTCTTCCTGAGGTGTACTGGGTCTTGAGGAAGAGGGAAATTCCAGAGATTTGATTGTTTTCAGTTGTCCTGAGAAAGGAGCTTCCATGGATTCACTCATTGAACATAGGCTAGGGGAGGAAGGTTGAGGTTTTATGACTTCTGTTGTTGCACTGGTACCTGACATAGAAGAAAATTTTACAGATGTGTTTGTTTCCGTTTGGCTTGAGAAAGGAGCTTCCATGGATTCACTAACTGAACTTGGCCTGAATGTGGAAAATGGAACTTCTGTTTCTTCTCTTGGTGTACTAGGTCTTGAGGAAGAGGGAAATTCCAGAGATTTGATTGTTACCAGTTGACCTGAGGAAGGAACTTCCATGGATTCACTTGGTGAATTTGGACTGGGAATGGAATGGGGAACTTCTTTGACTTCTGTTCTTTCAGTTGGACCTGAGAAAGAGGGAGATTGCACAGATTTGTTCATTGTAACTAGTCCAGAGAAAGGAATTTCCATGGATTCACTGGAAATATGTATGGTGGAGGAAGGGGGACATTGTGTGACTTCTATGGGTGCACTGGCACCTGAGATAGAAGAAAATTTTATAGATTTCCTTGTTGCCACTTTACCTGAGGAAGGAGGTTCCATGGCTTCACTGGTTGAATGTATGATGAGAGAGGGAGGAGGAACTTCTTTGACTTCTGTCAGTGCAGCAAGACCTGAGATAGAAGATTTATTTGATGAGGGACTTCCCCTGATTTCACTCGTTGAACTTGGGCTGGAGGAGGAAGGAGGGGATTCTTTGATTTCTCTTTGTGAACTTTGGCCTCTAAATGAAGGAATTTGCTTGGGTTTGCTCTTTGCTTTTAGACCCGAGGAAGGTTGACCTTGTATGGATTCACTGGTTGAACTTGGACTGGAGGAGGAAGGGGCAATTTTTTTCACTTTTTTTAGTGCCATGACCCCTGAAAAAGAGAGATATTTTGCAGATGTGCTTTTTTCAATTAGGTATGACAATGGGGTAACTTCCATGCATTCATCGGTTGAAAGTGGGATAGAGGATGGAGGAAGAACCTCTTTAACTTCTGTAGGTACAGTGACACCTGAGAAAGAAGGGAATTGAATGGATTTACTCTTTGCTAGTAGGC